TATAAAATGATCAGTGTTTTGCAACTGCCTTTTCTAATCTCAAATCTTTCATGCCTCATTAATTTAGTTTATATCCATAATTGGATCTACGGTGTGTGTCGTAATGAGGCTTATATCAAATAACGTCAACAGATATGTTTCTACCCTTCTTAAAACCATCTTGGCTCAACGTCAATAATGCCTCACGCCAGCTCCAAAGATACATCGATTTTGAATCTTATCAGATGGAGGTGTGTTCCGTTCATTGGAAGAAATTTGAGTCCAAGCTAATCCTCAACGGAAACCACTGAGGCTGAAAAAATTATTAGATAAAAGAATATTAACGATAAGCGTAAACACATTTTTTGGAACCCTTTGTATCTAGTTACAAGTTTTGGTTTGCATGTGTATACAGATGTGGAACTGTAAAATGATATTTGCTGAAAGTGCTAAAACGTTTCCCACAAATTTGAATCATAATATAGCCGCAATTGAATTATCATTTTAAAATGTGCAGTATGTTGTACGAGTAGAGATGGCTATCTCTTGAAAGTTAAATTTCGTGAATAGAGAAGAAAATTTTTGAAGGACATACAAATATAAACCAAGAAAAGAAATTGAAGGAATTTGTTGGCATCGACACGGTCGCTGCAACTTCAACTTAGAAGCATATCGGTTTGTGAACAACGATAACTTTCAATTTGCTGCAGCGATGTCAGCTTTGTTAAGCGTTACATAAGTATGAGTCCTGATGGAGACGATGATTATATTTACATGACTCAAATGATAGATCTCCAGCGCGTAGAAAAGAAAGCCACGCTTACGTTCGCAGGATTTTAGCTCCGACTGCAGAATTAATGAATTACTTCTAGACAATTGCAGGTTTGAACTTGGATGTTTTTCCAATGGATAGGAGTGATAAACGATCAATCTGACGGAATATGATAGGAAATGACACTGAGTGACAAAAGATAGTGGTAATTCGACGTCTGCGTAGGGCATTCTCTGCTATTGTTAAAACTTCAGATTTTCTTCATTTTCATGCAGGGG